CAGACTCCAGCTGAGCCACAAACGCACCGATTGGACAGCCTATGTGACGGACTCCCCCTCTGCTCCTGCCCCCCCCAACAGCACAAACGCATCTGGACTTTCAACCTTCTCACTCCGTTTCTTAGTTTAGTCGCTCAGACTTGATGTCGCCATCTTTGTTTTTTGTTTTTTAAGTGGCTTTTTAAGAGTTGTGCACTGGAACAAGATTGGAGGGGGGGGTTAAGTTGCCTTTAGTAGAACAATTTAATTATGGGGTTATGTTTTTGTTTTTTAAAATCATGCTCACATGATTTATTTGTACTGTTAAGCCCCTAAAGTCCCCCCCACCCCTACGGCTGGTTGGCATCATGCCTTCATATCCAGAATGTCAGCCTCTTCCTCTCCCATCTTCCTCCTGCTTGTTCAAACGTCCCAAAGAGCAAAACTCACAGGAAAAGTCATCTTTTATTTTTTCTTTATTCTGGAGGATGTTATAAAGAAGATCACTGGAAGAAAAAAAAAAGAAACAAAAAAAAAGATAATTGACGACGAATGGTTAATTATTTTCCTCTACTTTTTGATTTGATAATATATTTTTGTGTAGTTGAAATTATTGGGGCTTTGTACAGATTTTTGCGAGGGGGGGGGGGATTTGGATCATATCATTGCTGCCTTTATTTTTATTTTTTTTGAGGGTGTACTGCACCTTTAACGGCTCAGATTTAACTCCAACCCTCCCTGGATTATTGATCTATTTAATGATGATGGTGGTGGTGATGATGATGATGACTACTGCTGGTTTAATTTGTGTTTTTTTGGGCCTTTTTTTTATATTATTTTTACTTCATTAAAGGAGGCCTTTGTTGGTCCAGAATGGCTTGAAGTAGATAGAGAAAGTTTAGTTTCTCTCATATCGGAGCACCCATTCGGGCTCTGGGGGGGAAAAAAACAAAACAAGAAGAAAAACGCCCAGGCATACTCTGGGGTTTGCATTTGACGCTTCAGTTTTTGAGCTGAAGCAACAGAAATAAAAAGCAAATAAGCCTGAGAACGCCTGGGAGCCGTCGGTTAGTTGAACCTAACTCAACTCTTTTCCTTTTTTCCTTTCAGTTTTTAATACGTCGATCAATGTATTAAGGTGCTGGGTATTGGATTCTAATTATTATTATTCAGCCAGTTGCTGTTATATTATCTTTCAGGGTTGATTTTTATTTTGCATTATTTTTCGTTTTACATTGCTGTAATTTACATTGATTTTAAATGTGTTTTGAGGAAAAGTGTAACTGTAGTGGTGGGTTTGTTTTTGTTTTTCCTCCTCTGAGGATGGGGGGTGGGGGGGACCACTGGGGAGGGACGATCAGCTCCTTAAGAAAATGTATTATTTGTTTTGGGTTTTTGTTTTTGTTCAAACACGACATAATGAAAAATTACAATGATAGTAATAAAACAATGATATAATGCCGGCCTGACTGCTCTGCTCGTCTACTTGGAGGGTTTTATATCCGACTACAATCTGCTGGATCTATGGGATTATTTTATGTAATAAGCATTAACAACCTCACAAATGGCACGCTAATACAAATATCACTAATAGTAAATAGATCAATCCATTTTGTCCGTATGTGTGTTTACATTTTATCCAATTGTTTCTGTAATTTTAAGGTAGTATGTTTGAGTTTAAGGTTAACTGAGGGGCAGTCGTCCTTTAAGATCATCTGCATTATGGTGAGTAATTCAGGTGCTAAAGAAGCTCCAGACCATCACTCTACCACCACCGTGTTTGACTGTAGGTATGTCCTCTGAATTGCTTTGTTACGAATGTAAAATGGAGTCAAACCTCCCAGAAAGATGTATTTCAGTCTCCTACACCGAATGTTTCTTCTTAATTGGTTCTTGGGTCAGCTGGTATCTGAACTTTTACCTCTCCAGTCCTTTTTTTTCTTTGAATCATGATCAAAGACAAGTTAGAAGGCTACAGATTCGTACCGATTACGTCATAGCGCGGCGCCGCAGTCGGTTTGGATTGCAAGACACCTCGTTACGCATTCCGATTTTAAGGACCGATCCAGTGTATCCTATCTATCCTTGGTTATCCCAGGATTCATTGAGAGGCCAAGCAAGCCGGCTGCTCCATGCTCGGAGGAAAAAGGTATTTGGTGCCAAACAGTGGTGAATATTGGAAGTGCAGTTTAATATAATACAAATATGTGAATCTGAAAATAATGCAAATTGTTTTTAAATGGTTATTGAGTCAGATATATAGCAGCAATGTTTGGTTTATTGAAATATTTTTTATCTTTCTTGATCTTGATCTGGCTGAGCTGCAGTGAGAGGTTTGGTATACAGTCTTTCCCTGATTTGTGTGTAAAATCACGGTTGCTAGGCGACATATCATACGCTGGTAAAAGTTGCAGAAGGCTTGACCTATTCCATAGCCATAACCAAAACTCTTACAGTCTCCTTATTTTTTACACACCTTAAAGGATCCAGTCTAGATAGACAGGGTCCTGGGAGGATGCAGCCTTTAAAATTGAAAACAGCCCCAGAGTGTTTGAGAGGATGGTGTTGGTCTTTTTGACCTCTGAAAAAAGTCCTCAGTGAGCACTTGGTAGTTTAAGGTCTTGCCTGGACTCCCATGTTTTCTCTATGACTTGCTTTTTCTTTTTGTTCTTTGAGATACAGTCAAGAAAATAAGTATTTGAACACCCTGCTATTTTGAAAGTTCTCCCACTTAGAAATCATGGAGGAAATTGTCATCGTAGATGCATGTCCACAGTAAGGGACATAATCTAGAAAAAAAAATTACAATATAAGATTTTTCAACTATTTGTATGTTACAACTGCAAATAAGCATTTCAACACCCGTCAATCAGCTAGAATTCTGATCCTCAAAGACCTGCCTTCAAAGTCTGCCTTCAAAATGTCCCCCTCCGCTCCATTTATTATCCTAAATTAGATGCAGCTGTTTGAGGTCGTTAGCTGCATAAAGACACCTGTCCACCCCATACAATCAGTAAGAATCCAACTAACATGGCTAAGACCAAAGAGCTGTCCTAAGACTCTAGAGATAAAATTGTACACCTCCACAAGGTTGTAAAGGGTTACAGGGAAATTACCAAGCAGCTTGGTGAAAAAAGGTCCACTGTTGGAGCAATTATCAGAAAATGTCAGTCTCCCTCAGACTGGGGCTCTATGCAAGATCTCACCTGGTGGGATCTTCATGATCCTAAGAAAGGTGAGAAATAAGCCCAGAACTACACGGGAGGAGCTGGTCAATGACATGAAAAGAGCTGGACCACCGTTTCCAAGGTTACAGTTGGTAGTACACTAAGTCATGGTTTGAAATCATGCATGGCATGGAAAGTTACCTGCACATGTCAAGGCCCGTCTTAAGCTTGCCATTATCTATTTGGATGTTCCAGAGGAGTCATGGGAGAAAATTATGTGGTCAGATGAAACAGAAATGGAACTTTTTGGATATAATTCCACTAACTGGGCTTGGAGGATGAAGGATTACCCCCAAAAACACCATCCCTACTGTGAAGCGTGGGGGTGGTAGCATAATGCTTTGGGGATGTTTTTCTGAACATGGGACAGGGCGACTGCACTGTATTAAGGAGAGGATGACCGAGACCATGTATTGCCAGATTCTGGAGAACAACCTCCTTCCCTCAGCATTAAAGATGGGTTGAGGCTGGGTCTTCCAACATGACAATGACCCGAACCACGCTGCCAGGATAATAATATGGAAGAAGCACATCAAGGTTCTGGGGTGGCCTTGCTAGTCTCCAGACCAAAACCCAATAAAAAACCTTTGGAGGGAGATCCAAAACCGTGTTTCATATTAACCTGACTGATCTAGAGAAGGTCTGTGTGGAGGAGTGTGCAAACCAGGTGGAAAAACTGCAGGAAACCTTTGACCTCTGTAATCACAAAGGCTTATGTACAAATATTAAAATTGATTTTTCTGAGGTGTTAAAATACTTATTTGCCGCTGTATCATACAAATAAGCTTCATGTCTGCTTGACATTTTACAGCATATGAACCAAACTTTAACTCTTGGTGTCTTTGACCGAACCTCTCAGATTCTTTGTGTCACTTTATTTCTTCACTGCAGTTCTTTCCGGCTGAGATAATGGTTTGTAGTTTACTCAACAAGAATATGTAGGTCTTAGAAATCAGTCTACAGTAGAATATTTGGATTTGATTTATTGGAAAAGAAAATGAAAGTTTGAAAAAAAAATTATTTTTTCGGCTTTCTCTATCCTGTTGTCTAAATGTCCTACTTCTTAGGTCTTACCTTCATTCCTTCCCTGTTGCCTTTGACCTAGTTGTCCTGCCTCTCCTTCCCGTCTTGTCTGCAGTCCTTTTTTTTTTTTTTTTTTACAGGTGACCTTCCTCTATGATAATCTCATTTCTCTTCCAGTTTGTTCCTTGCTCTACCTCCATGTCATCCATGCCATGTTCTGTCCTTGCCCCCACTGGCATTTGTATTTTAAACACTTTTACTTAAAATTAGGCTATTTTACTTTTGTCATTACCTCCTAGCTTTCTTTTAGGCTTGCTTTTTCTAATAAGCTTGAATTTGATCAAATTTGAATCAAATAGATTTTTTTGAGACCATACTTATTTATTTCCTCTCTTTTTAAACACTTGAGCAGAGGAAGGAGATCCAGCTTTAGCGCAGATGGAGGACAGGTTTGTTAGACAGCCAAAAAGGCTTGGAGCTAAAGCTGTTAGAAATTGGAAAAAATAAAATGAAAGCAGCCATTGCTTGGAGTCTCACAACTGAATTACCGGTAGACTAAAATGGAACTAAAACCAATGCAATAAAACTGCTACTAGTAATCAAATTTCATTAAGGGCATGTTCTTTTTTCTGGGGGCGCCCTGGTTAACCCTTAAGTTCAGGAGCATTTACATACACACTTTCTTTTACCTTTTAGTCACCATTTCTCCCTCATGGTCTTTGCTCTCTTCAGATTATAAACTCGATTTATTCCTTAATAAATGACGAGAGCTAAAACTGAACATTTTGGTTTTTATTTAAACCAAACAGAAGCAGTTCTCCTGCCACAGTGTAAACAACTTCTCACATATGGTACAAACAAGCAGGAACAAGGAAAATCCAAGGCAGTCCTCTTTAAAGCCAGATGAAGTGAGAAGAAAAGGAGCAAACAAAAGACGCCCCATTGTGCCTGAATTTGTTCTTGAATGTTTTCCATTACATCAGGAATCATTAAAGAAAATGTTGGCGCGACTGGAAGTGTGACTTTTCTCCAAGGTGGGCTGGCGTCAGCCATCAGGTGGTTGGATCTGCAACAGGAAGCGCTTCCAGATCTACACCACTTCCTTCCTGGTATGATTATTCCAATAGGCAGAAAGATGCTATGATTTGACCTCTGAGCTGAAATTCAAACAAATCCTTCACACCAAAACAGGTTTCTCTAAGAATTAGGAGTTGGTTGCAAACAGTTTAATACCTTTACTTTGTAGAGCCTTCATGTTATCTTCTCTAAGTCTTACTCTCTTGCAGCCTGAACAAACAATTGATAACCATAAAGGTTTTAAAACATAAATTTTTTTCTCTCTTTACATTTTAAGTTTCACCAATACTGAAAACGGTCAAATTGCCTAATGCTTCAACTGGAACATTTCTCAGTGCTTCAATTAAAAAGGAAAAAAAAAAAATCAAGCTAATGATTTGGATTAGTCCTGATGAGCTCTTACATTTTTATTCATCTGATGGGTAATAAATCAATTATGAAAAGCATGTCTTTCAATACCTGTGTGGAAGTTTCTTTAGCAGACTCTTTTTGGACACTGACCTGTTCACAGGCCTGAAAGTTACTTCTTATTTGCTCCTTTGTGCTCAGTCATAAAGTACGCACAATCTAAACTACTTACAGTCACTAATCTAGGACTCACCTAGTCAACAAAACCTTAAACGCCACTCCAGTTTGAACTACTTCACACGGCTTTCACTGCAGAGCAGGAGCCGTGATCTGCAGCTCAGACCAGAAGCGACAAACTCTACTACCAAAAGCCACAACAAATTCAGCTTTTCTACACCTTTGTACCACTTTTTTTATCTTCTTTGAAGACCTAAAAAATTTAAAGCAAAACTCAAAAAGCCATTTTCTTCACGTCTCAAAAAGCAGGTTTGGCTCAGATAGGGGAAAAACTCTTACGACCAGGATGGTGCAGCGGTATTTCAGTCTTAGTTTATCCAAAAGCTTTAGGTTGAGGAAGCGACTGGTGTGTTTTAGTGTTAACCTCTAGTTTCTACCTGTCGGCCGGATGTGGAGCTGAGGTTTGGAGGTAGCTGTTTTACAGGTGTGGGAACAAGGTCATTTTAAGGACCTGAGTGTGAAGATGCCAATTTGCTTTATTTTGTGCCCAAACCAATGCATCAGTGCGAGTTGGGCTGCTCCACTTTGATGCCGACCAGTGATGGAGGCATCTGGCATCCAGTGGAAGAGGAGGAGCTGGGAGGAGAGCCCCTGAGGCTAGAGGAGGTGGTCACTGCAGGCCGGATGAGCGGAGGGGGAGGGTGGTTATGTGGCGCTCTGCTTTGGAGTGGCCGCGTCTGAAGAGGAGGCGGTTGGCGGAGGAGGCTCGGTGGTGCAGAGGGGGGAGCTGGGCGTAGCAGAGGGGGAGGCTGGGAGAGGGAGGAAGGAGTGACTGAGGCAGAGGGGGGAGAGGAGCTGCTGGTCGGATATGGTGGGGAGTCTTCCATCTTGACCTGAGAGGGAGAGACGACAGTTTGGTTCAGGTGGTAAAACAATCTTTTATGAAACATTAGCATCCATCATCTATAACTGGATCTAATGTTCCTCAAAACCTTCACCGTGAAACAGGCCTCACCTCTTCCTCCTCCTCCTCCTCGGCTCCTCCGTCTGGAGCTGCCACCTCCTCACTGCTCCTTCGGGGGTCCCTCTGGTCTCTGCTGGTGGCCACCTGCTCGGCGGCCCACTCCCTCAGCACCTCGTCAAGGTTGAAGCGGCGCCTGTAGCTAACAAAGAACGAGCTCACCTGGACAGTGAGGAAGAAAATTAATTACAAACGAGGGCTGTTAGATTAAAGGAAATGATTAACAAAGATGCAGCAGGTGGTCAGATAAAGCAGAGAAGGCTCACCTGAGGGGCCGTCTTGGTCCCGATCACCTCAGCAATGGCTGTAAAGTCTTTACCATAACGACGAATAGCTAAAAAGGAGACATCAGGTTAATATGGTCTTCAGCAACATGCTACAGCTGAATGAAGAGCTTTCTTTATATGTTCACAGTTAACCTACATGTGAGCACACCTGCTTCCAGCAGGCCCAACCTTCCTGCTCATGTTTAAGCAGGAAACCTGCGGTTGGGTCAATGGAGAAACGTCTGCAGCTGCTGGGAAGGGAAGCGTTTCCTTTCTGGGCCTCAGCTGTTCTTCATCTAGAACCTAATGCTTTTCTGTGGAACCCTACAGGTCCACTCTGTTTGCTATTAATCAAGTTGGGCTATTCTTTAGATTCAATGTTTCTTACATATTATACTTTAAGTTTGAAGAAAGGTTAGCAGTCACAGGAAAATGATGGCTGTTCCAGAAAACATCTGAAGACTGATTTCACCTCTTTCAATGGAGACAATATTGAAAGAAAAGTAGGGAAAAGAAAAAAAACGGTAGAGTGGTTTTCTGGTTGTTTTTTTCTACAATGATGAAATATTTGCAATGAAGTGCGTTTTATATTGTAAAATAGTCACTCTTTAAAATCTTCCGTTTTGGAAATACTAAGAGGTGATGATTAGAAATTCAATTTTTAAATATAAGTCACTGTTATTTTTTTTTATTTTTTTTACACAAGCGGTTACAGATGAGCTTTTCCTAGAGCATGTAGAAGTCCCTTCATGCTTCCGTAATACAAATATCTCAGCTTAGTTTCCACTCATTCTCTACACTATTTTAGCTCTCTTTATAAATAAATAAAAATCTAAATAAATGCTCATGGCCAAAAGTCTCATCCTGTGGGCCGCCGATCATTTTAAGCTTTTCTAATCCACATCTGGACTCAGCCTAGGTAACAATGATTCAGAATGATTGCTGTGCCTACGGTCCCAGCAGCAGCTCAAGCTATTGCTGCTCTCTAATCAGAGCAGAGTCAGTATCTACATGTTCTTGTAGAAGCTTTGCCTTTTTGAACGCAGCGTAGACGACTGCGGGAAGCTGAGCGGAAACAGATTCTGGTGTGAAACAACATCTAAATATGGACTTATTGATGTTGTGCATTTGTGACATACAAGAAACAGCTGTACCCCCACATGAATCTCATTTTAACAAACAGTCAAAGTTTCCCTTCAAAAGAAAATCTACAGTTGATTATTTTCCCCCAGGGCTAAAAATTTGATGACTTGTTCAAATGTTTGAATACACCCTCTGTTAGTCTGTCTATTTGAGTCCAATTCTTAGCAGGAATAAAAATGTTAAATTATTTGGAGTAATTGCAGGAACTCTGCTCGGCCCATGAAGTCTTAAAGGCTGCCCTATCTTTATTATATATTTACTGTTATTGAGCCCCAGCTGAAGGCACACACACACACTGATGGTGGGTGTGTTTGTGCTACATTGTAGGGAGAGCTGCCCCAGGGCTCACTGACAGAAGTGAGACTGCCATACACAGCCTCCACAAGACTCTGACCACCATCATGGAGTCAAGCAGGGTCAGAACTGGAGTTCATACCGGCAACCCTGGCACCATGACTTTCAAAGTCTGCTAGCCAAAAAAAACATGATGGTATGATTTAGCCTGGAATCAGCTGAAGTGGAGCTTTGATAACGATCTCCATGCAGCGCTGAATCATTCTAGAATGGTGTTACTGAAGGTGGATGTAAACTGGAGTAGATCAGCTAGCTTGATTCTGAAGATTCAGATGTTATTTTTTTAAGAGAACTTCAGTAAATTTGTGGATCAGAGTTTCTTTTTTTCCATTGTTTTGGTCTGGGTTAAAATACTTAGCAACTGGAAGGATTTTTGGCCGTATTTTTTTCCCTTCATCATCCGATATGATGCACAGCATTGACTACCATGGCATTTTCTTTATTTTTAAACATAACCAAGAGAAGCTCTCTTAAGCTGTAATAAGACTTCCAGACGACTTTGAAAAGCGTGTGCAAAGGATGAGGGAGAAGAGAGAGGAGCAGGAAATTCAAGCCCTCTCTTCCATCGATTGTTCAGGCAATGTAAGATCTTTAGAAAGATCTCCAAGCCCGTTAAAGAGTCCAGCCAGAATATTGTCAATGCAGGATTATGTGTTGTACTGAAACATGGCTGCAATGGACCCAGAACAGTTTGGCTTTTAATAAAGGCAAAATCCTAAAACAATTATTCAGGTTTTGTAGAACACCAAAAAGAGAACTGTAGTGTATATATCAAAAAATGGTGCATATTCGTTTTATTATTTCTTTTCTTCACAAGTTTGGACCCCTCTACATAGCCTATGCAAACGGTTAAATTAAAAGCTAAATAAAATAGATTAATGTCCACTATATAAGTTAGTAAACCTCTGACTGTGTGACTACCTATAAAGTATTTAGAACAGCCACATGATTTAACAACAGGATGGTGTAGAGAAGCTGGGAGCTGGTGCAGCACAGACAGTTCCTGTGTAGAGAATATGAATGTGTTGTCTGGCTGTGGATGTGAGGCAGAAAGGACAGACAGGAGACTCTGGGGGAGGGGGAGAGGAGAAGGAGGCCTGGCTTTTACTCACCCTGCACAGCCAGCAGCTGCTCCTCTGTGGTCCAACGAGAGTTCATCTTTGGGGCAGGCTGAGGAGACGAAGGAGATGGAGGGGGTGAGAAAATAAAGATGGCGAAGGAAAGATCAAGACTAATCTGTCTTACATGTTAGAAAAAAAAAACCTTTGAGGTTGTTAAGGAGAGACAGAGCACCGAGACAAACTAACTTATCTACAGAGTAGATAAAATGGGGATAAGTGGACAATTTTCAGTAACAGAAACCTGAGTTTTACCTCTGCAGGTCTGAATGCATCAACACCTTCAGTCAGGCTCTGCTTCAAACTGCTGTTGGTCTGTTTGGCCGCCTGAACCTGAGAAAAATTAAACAAAACCAAAACATTTAAAGCACCTAATTATCTAAGGAATCAGTTCAGATATGTAGAAGTAGAATCCTGGGCTATGAGCTTTAAGATATAACCCAATTAAAAGTAGTCTACCCAAGTTTAAAATAATCTCACTAACCGTTTTTTTCTGAGATGGAGCAACTTATTTAAACTTCCCTTTAGATGTTTTAGGTGTGAACTGGGCACTGGAGCTAAAATGGATCACTGATAACTTTCAACCTCTATCTAAAAAATATGCTCATGGCCCATAATGATAAACTGTGAAAAACAATCAATAAGAACTGGAATTAATACACGTTTTCCTCGCTCTTCTCTTGAAACCAGTTTGCTACATGAGTGTTTTAGTTATTAACAGATCCTAATAGCTTTCCTTTAACCTTTGAATGATCTACAGAAAAAAAATTATGCTTTAAATAATATGTATCACCAGAAGGTCCCTCAGAGGTATTCTGGTTTAAACAGAGTTCTAATCAGTCTTTGTTTATAGAAGTTAAAGTCGTAGGGAAACGGCTGTTCCAACCTTTACATTTCCGAATTCTCCCGAGTGGTGCCCGACTTTACACAAGTGAATAAAGTGAATGTGATTGGTGGATTATCAAGGGGGTGGGATTCTTGTGGCGGAAGGTTTGCAAGCATGTTTGGTTGTGTTTGTCAGAAGCATCTTGCTAACCAGTTAGCAACTTAGTTCTAGTAGGTTCCCAATGGGAAATTACATTGGGAACAAGCAGCACTTAGCAACGACACTGAAGGAACGCTATGGACAGCAGAAAACATGCAAGAGGAGAGTTTTGTGGCACAATGCAAAATTTTCATCAAATCAACCTTTTTTTAAGATTTCAAAATACTGTTGTACAAAAGAAAAATGTCATTTCTTTAGAATATAGGTACAAAAACAAGTTGGCACAACATAGGGACATTGTTTGCTGAAACTGACCTGGCACCAGTTAAATGAATGCTATAAAATTGACTTTCAAGAAGAGACCTTCTCTAGCCGCATTTCACATGTTTGTAACAGATCATTCTTCTTATATAAGAGGCTTTATATATAAGAAAGGCTTTCATGTGACCAACCAGCTAATAGAAACATAACGGTGCTGCTTTAAAAACTGGTCTCACTTCTCTTCTGTGGATCTCTAATTCCTTTAGCTAAAGTAAGATCACTGAAGGTATGACTCAGTTCATGTAAGATACTGATGGCTCATAGCCTCTCCACAGGATCCAGTTTCATAAACCCAATGAATTTACAGTATTCTATGCCAGTAATTTATTTTTAATTCAAAAACAGCTTTCTGATTAAATCATGTGCCCTGATGGCCCAATATATAATATTTCCCTATTTTTACACTTTGTTTCTGCTCTGTTAGTAAATTTAGGCATTTAGTGGACTTATTATAAGAGACCATGTGATTGGAGGCAATAATGCTGAAGATATCAAGTTAATGGTTGTGAGTATAAGAACTGCCAGCAGATGGCAACAGTGTAAAACCGAAACAAGTGGTTTGTGAAACAATTCAGAGATTTCTAAACTTGATCAGCCTGCAACACTCTTCAGTGTGGCGACATTTACTGAAGGAGGACCCATAGGAAAAGGTGCTACAGCAAAGTGTGCAACAGCAGAGTGCTCAGATCATCTGTCATGGAGGACGCAGGATTTGGAAGTATCCCAGTGTAATTAATGATAGAACGGAGGGAATGCTGTGAAAACATTTTAAATTCTATTATATCTTCCTCTGAAATTGTTTTACTAAGAAATGTAGAATCTAATTCTTTATAAAAAAAACCTGATCAGATAATAGCCACAAAACTCTAGTAAAACCAGTTTAGCTATAAGGAAGAAAGCAATTTAGTGACATTGGCATATAAATCTGCTGTTATGTTGTTGGAACATGTTAAAATGGCACATAACTCTGCTCAGGAGGGTCTCAACAAGAAGCAATAAAAAAATAAAATCCCTTCTTATGTTACCCTTTAGGAACAATACGCAGCCGTCCACATTTTTATTAATATATAAAAGAAGGTCCTTTTATTTCCAACAGATGCTAAAAGGGGATCAGTTGTTTGCTTAGTGAGGTGGGCCTGATGTTGTTGGACAGCCTTTAGTGAGGAGAATCTCTGAAACCCACCCACCTGTCTCTTGAGTGACACCAACTGTCCGTCCAGCTGACGTATGGACAGAACTCCAGCGTCTTGAGAGGTGGACAGAGCTGTGATGTCCGTTTGGTCGAGGTGCATGCCTTTGGGTGGTCTGCGGCGAGCTCTAAGCGGGTGATGTCTGTACTGAGCCCCGATGCTTTCCTTCTTCACTGGCCCAGACCGGCTGGGGATGGCTTTGTCTGAACTGGTGCTGTTGGTGTTCTGTTTCACTGCCTGAGTGAAAGGAAGCGTTGGTTTTAAGACTGTCTTTATAATTCAGGAAGTTTGGATTTGTAGTACTTGCCTCTTTTTTGGCATCAACCTCAAAGTCGCTGTCATCACCAGGCTCTCCTTCCTCAATCTCATCATTGCTGCATTAGAAAAAAAACAAAAACCACCAAAGGTTAAGCAACGATGGTCTTTACTACAACTCCCGCTTCTTCCTGCTTCTCACCTAACATTCAACATATGTAAGGAGGGAAATAATGAGTCTACCTCATTTATATTCATGAGATTTGTTTTCCAGGATGAAGTAACAATCAGGCATTATTTAACAAAGAAGTTCTCTAAATGTCAGATTTGATCAGAGATGCCTGGGATCTTTAATTCCTACAGACTCCTTCCTACAGGTACCAATAGAAGCTTTCAAACCTGTCCTCCTTCTCTCTCTTGTTGATGAGCCTCCTGGCCTGTCGGTCCATCACTGAGGTTCTGGACCTGGTCTTCTTCCAGCTGTAGTAGTATTTCACTAAGCTGGAGATCAGTTTGTCTGGAAGCTGCAGAACCAAAAAAACCAAATAGAAAAGTAAATTACTAGGGAACTGTAAATCCAAATGACATGTGATACATCATTTCTAAGCTAAACCTTCTAGTTTCCGAAAATATTTATGAAAATAATGGTTTTATAAAATATTTCTGGTTAAAACTCCCCATAAAGCAGTGCCAGACCTGTCCTGCTGTGATTTTTATTGTCTGTTCATTTCACTGGATTTTATTTAGGGGAATCAGAGAAGTGTTAGGGTTAGGCTAATGGAAAATGCTTGTTGTTTTGTAAATGTTTTGTTAACTATATATCACTTTAAAATACTTCACAATTACGTAGCACTTAAAGTTGATCTACCACATTAAAACAAACCCACATTTTTTTAATAAATTTGTTGACTGAGGAAACAGATTAGTGATATACATCAACAAAATAAAACATTTTCCTCATTACATTTTTTCGTGTCCCCCCTTTTCCCACTGCTGATCCGGGATGGTTAGTCCTAGTTTATCGTTCCGAAGATATTTTAAACTTAAATGTTGTGTTATGTATTGTCTGTCTGTGTTTCTTGCCATTTCGTACCATCTGCTGGATGCGGTGGAAGCTCTTGCCATGGAAGCTGAAGGCCTGCTCAAACAGCACCTTGTCCTCAACCGTCCACTCGTCTGGAAAAGGCGTGAAGTTGGCCAGGTCGGCCAGGGAGCGCTCCACGTCGTGTTTGTGCCATAATAACATCCCCAAAGACTGATGAGAACAAAGACCCAGGAAGCCAGGAACAGAGAAGCTTACCAAATGTGTTTTTATGAATTTTATAATCATATTTAGATGTAAATCATACCTGCTCCATGTTGTATCCGTGTTTTTCTTTAGCCATTAGGATGTACTCATCCACTAGAAATGAAGAAAACAATTAACCACAGATGAAAAAGAGGAATATGATGGCCAGGGTTATACATTCTCTGTAGATGGATGTAGAGTCAGCTTACACATTGTGTCTGAGAGCTGGCTGTTGGGACACCAGACCAGCATGCTCCTCTGGTCCTTCTCATTGTAGCGGGTTGGACTGTCTGATGACGACAACAGAAACATTTTAATGGATGGAAGTTAAACTATAGGGATACGGTCTAAAATCACCTATATTTTTACACTATTTTGTAAGCATATCCATAACTAGGACATCTTCTCTGAGCTTATTTATCTAAAACGAGCAGCGCACATAAATCAACACAAATGTTTCAGTCCGTCATGTAAATATGGTAGATTAGGCCATAGGGCTTTATTTTCATTTGCAGTTCTCTGCAGGTTGATGGCCTTGAACAATATTAAAACATTAAATCACATTGTTGTTAAATTAAAAACGTTCTCCATCTCCTCCCTCTCTCACTTCCTCAGTTTTATCCTCAGCTTCATATATACCGTTTCCTCTCTTCCAGCTCACCTGGTTTGAACTCTGGGATCTGGGCTTGGTAGTCTCCCCCGACTCTGATCATGCTGTCTGTGTTTAGGAGCAAAGTAAGAAAAATACTTTTTACCGTCTGCATTAACAATGATAAGAATGGGGCTCAGATACTTTTACATTATACACTGCTGCCTCTTTAAGACATTATTTAATTTCAAACTTCTATTGTTCAGGGTAGATGAGAATAGTGCAGCATATATTAATTTTCTGTGATAAATACTCCACCAGACAATTCAGCAACATTTTAGAAAAAAATGAAAGACACAAAGCAACAGCAGAGGCTGACTTTAAGTTATTAATACTTTGTCTAACAATCTAGGAAGAAAACTGTCTAGAAGAGAGCAACTAGAGGACAGAGAGTGTTAGAAACAAGAAGACACATTAGGCTTTCCTCAGGGACAGAGGATTGGAAAGGAGAAGCTGAGGGTGATTGAAACACGAGTAGATATATCACATGAGTAAAAGGAGTAAAGAAGAGAAGACTAAAGAGGGGGATGCTAAGAAAGGAAAATGTTCCTAAACTAAAACTTTAACACAAATGAGCAAGAAGAAGAGCTAGCATCAAGCTTCTTTACCTGTTAAAATATATAAGTGCTGTGTATAGGCATTTAATCAACATCATGCGATTCAAGGAGTGCATTTACCATGAGCGTGCTCTTCATCGCTGCTCTCCTCCTCGGAGTGAGGTTGGCTGTTTCCATTAGTGACTGTTTTGGCCCTGCTCCTGGACAGGACCCCAGCCCCAGAGCGCTCCATCACTGAGGGCATGACTGCAACAAACACACACACGCCATCAGTGGAGAGCTTCATTTCTTATAGATTAAATCTACAAATTAGGCTGGATTATTTCCGCAATAAAATACAAACTTGAGTCATTTAAAACAGATTGTGTTCTACACCTTGCGTCTCTGCACTGCACTGCACTGCATATTGTTCTTAAATTAAGGAGGTAAGTAAGCCAATGGAATAAAACAGCGTACATTTAAAATAAGAAAAAACTATTGTATTGTTTTATTTCAAGTGCACATGATGTAATTATCTTACTTTAAGAATAGCAATACTCATTCCATTGGCAAATCATGTTCTTTATGCAATTATGCATAAATCATCTTGTTTACTTACTCAACTTAATGGTAAATAGACTTAAATTAAGAATTGTTTACTTATTTCTAGATCATTTTTGCAGTGTGCAACAAATAACGTCATTAGCAGAACTCTGGAGATTTTCCACCATATCAAATCTGATAAATGGCTGTGATTAAAATTGTGCATTGCTGACAAAACTTGTGGTTAGCTGCTGGTGCTGATTTGATGCCCCCCACAAAAACCAGCAAGTTAATGTCTTACACATAGTTCTTTTTTTTTAACCAAAAACTACATTTGTTTGCAAAGCTTGCAAAATGAAATTTAGTGCATATATATCATATATCCTTTTTACATGCAGTGTTATGTGCATTTTTTTTACCTGCTCTGTGTACTGAGCAGGTAGGCTCAGACGACAGACGGCTTAGTAAAATGTATAATGTCTGAGAAAAGCAAAACGTTTTCAAACCAGGAAATGAAAAATATAAAGAATACAAAGGATTTGTATTAAAATAATTTTTAAAAATGTTAGCATTAGCTTGGCATTATAGGAACATGCGAGTAGGATCAGAAACAGTTATTTTGTAGCTATTGATTAAACTAAGCAAACACATCCAACAGTCAGACTCCAAAGAAATAGACTGTCCCCAGAAAACTACTTAGTGAAAATCACAGTAAAAATAACACTACATTTAGTATCACATTATTGAGTTTTTAACCATTTTAATGGAACCACTTTCAACTTCAAGATCAATTCATGCGTCAGACTGAGATTCAACATACTCATCTGTTTTTAGATCTGAATTAAACACGAGGCATTATGATAATAGAGAATAAAATACATTGTTTTAAACTGCACTTTCATTTAACACATCGGAAATTAATCAGAAGGGATTAAAAGATTCCTGTGGGATTTTTTATTTTATTTTTTTAAGAGTAAAACAGGTTTAGGTGTATTTTGTGTCTGCATTTCTGAATATTGTTCTTGTTTTTTAATTTCAATTAATCTCTTTCTTCTTTAACTTGACAAATGTTCACCACTGTACTGACTGCAAAGGCAAGCAAGAGAGGTTATCGACCTCAGGTGATTACCAACAGAGAGGGATATCATGATAATCTGCATCTGTTTTGAGTCAAATCATTTAATATTAATTGGATATTTCCCTTGCTTTTGTAATGACTCATACATGTAAGTCATTTTAAGCCTAGCTGAGCAGAAAAGCAAACCATTAATATACAGGGTTGCTCTTCTAGCCATCTCAAAACATTTCTTGGTCTTCTAAGCCACTGTTAACAGAACAGACAACTATTGTCCCAAGGAGGAAATGTTTAAAAAGAACACTTATTCTGAATATGAGGCAGTGTTAACAGCTCTAATGAGTCCAAGTGTCACTAGTCCTTTCAGAAATATCCTTCATGTCCTACTGAAAATAGTTTGTATTAACCAGGATTTGCTCCACACAACATTGTCTAAATGTGTGGTAAATCATCCCATCCTCTTCTCCTGCAGTACTTTAAGCAAAATCAAGGAAGGGTGCAACATCTAGAAGCTAGCTACATGCAGACTGATTACGGGCATTAACCTTTTAGGTTTAGCTGCAAACAGGAGCAACACTGTGGGCTTCATTTGGTCTTTGGCTACATTTCCTTTGGAACTAATTCACCAGGGCCTCGAGCATTTGCACTTTTAAAAACAAAAACATAAATGCAACAGGTAAATCAGGGCAAATTGGTGTTGATTGATTGGTCTTTTAATTACCGTAGTAATCCTTGGATTGCTTTGTCATTGACTAAGATAAATATGATGTGAATAGAAGAATAGAATAGAAATCAAACTTTATTGATCTAACAATGGAGAAATTAACTCTCTGCATTTAACCCATCCCCTTTGGGGAGCAGCAAGTTGCCACTGTGTGGTGTCTGGGGAGCAGTGTGGGGTTAAGGGTGTTGCTCAGAGACCCTAAGTGCGGGCTGTGGGGGTCAAACCAGATTGCAACCTTCTCAGAGCACAAGGGTACTGATCTAACCACTAGGCCACACTCCCCCAGCAAAGGACCATGGTTGGCCGTGTCAAGAACTAAGGCCTCCGTACCTGGGTCGCACACACTAACCACTGAAGCACGCCAAATTAAGTTAGCAATTTTCCTTTGTCACTCTACAAAATTGAAAAACAAGAAAATGAGCTGTTCAAGTATAAATGTACATTTGTTGATCTTTACAGGCCATGAAACAGAAAAATGTGCCAAAAACATATGATCAAAGGTTTATGAGAACTATAACTAGGATAAAAAAGTGAGTTGTCTTGCTGCCAACTTCTGAGGAAAACAGTAAGTGGGGAAAAAAGCAAAAAAAAAAATAAAAAGGCTAATTTTTGGTATGTGCAAGCCTTTATCACCATAGTTTAGTCATACCTGGTGATATCAGTTCACTGATTAAATCTTATATGCTGGCTTGTCCTGAATCAAAATTTAAAATACGAAATTGATCTTTATGACAGTTACACATCTTTTTCCTGTAGTTCCATAGACGTAAAGAACAAACAGGGTGTCAGATTAAATGCAAATATTATTTAAAGGAGCATAGTACAACTTCCAGGGTTTTTGCAGAGATTTACCCCTTCTGGTGACAAGTTGAAATAACACCAGTGCCGTGCACTTGCATGGGAGGAGAGAGGAAAAGAAGGCATCTGTCGTTGCAATTTTGCAGATCTTTGTTTTAGAGGAATTCTGTTTTCTCAGGCAAGAAATGTGGATATTTGTAAGTTATTTTAAAAGGTCTCTTTTTGATCATCCTACATTTTCTGACAGCTCCCCCTATTTTCCCTCATCTTATTCCATCTCCAATCAGACACCAGTTTGGACCCTTCCATTGCTTTGGATATTAGCTCAGTTTTCCTATTGCTGTGTTGAGTCTCTGATGGGGTTTGAGGAACACTTGTGGCTTGTCTTTTGTAATCCATCTTTAAAAACCGTGCCTGTCCTCTCTCAGTAACGTGTGTGGAGACTTGAAATAAGTATCATCGCGCAAATGCCAAGGTATGTATGGAAAAGAGATAAAGTAAAATAAAAAACTTGAAACTTGCACGATGCTCTTTGTTGGGCGTTTTTCAGAACCACACATGTCCAACACGACATAAAAATTCATTGCCATTAAAATCGAAATTAAATAAGTAAATCAGTGTATAGCATATTTATATATAAAATTTTATCTGATTTTCAAAATCAATTTTTAAATAAATATATAGGACCATTCATCTGGAATTACTTCATTAAAGATCTTTAAATATCATAAATTAAACAATGTTTATCTATCTAATGCAAACACACAACCAATGTCATCCTAAGGTACTTTAAGTGGAAAAAGGTCTAATTTAAATCTAACATGGAACCAGTTTCATAAAAAAAATGTGTCCAAATCAGTACAGTTTAGTATAATCGTTACCTAATGCAGATCCAATCATAAAAACATAAATTACTCTAAAGGACAAGACAAAATAGTCAAACTTTGCTGATCACATACAGCCAATTTGTAAAATGTTATCATAGGTAGCTCTGTTGACTGCATCCAGTCAATGACCTTGGAACAATCCTTCATCAGCCATTGACCTCCCTTATAAAATCGAAAATCTGTGAAAAGTGTTAAAAAGTTTGAAGCATAACCGAAGCAAAACTATAAAAGATATGAAAAATAACGGGAGTAGGTAGAAGCAGTCAAAGGGCAAAGTAGCAGAGGTGTTAGCGGATTTTTTTGCAGAATTCCATTCATTTCTATGGGAGCAGAAGAAGCTGAATAGTTTAAAAAGTATAAAAGATAGACATACCAAAAAGATACAGTGACCATGTCCTAAAAGTGCTGAATATTATAGAAGTTGAATGGTTGAAATAGCACAAAGTATGCAGAAGTAATTAAGGTCCAAACAGAACACGAACAGAAGCAACCAGAAGAAGCAAAAGAAAAGAAAAAAAAAACAGGATCTCAATAGTGTGAATACTGTAAAGCATTCACACAATTATAATAACCTCACTAAATGCCAAGCAGGTTATTTAAATTTCTCAAAAACAGAGGAAACAAAACGATATGTATGAGCATCCTAGGTGAGCATGGGAGAATCATTGTAGCAGCACTTTAATCAGTGCTTATAAATGCAAGTCTCTTATTTTAGAGCAGCTTCAAATTAGTGTAGTTTTTTTTGTAGTTTTAGTGAGGAATAACTCCAGATGCAGATCCACACAACAAGTAATATTAGATCATAAACATTATTATGTATGCTTGAACTTTCCTAACCCTAATCCTTCCATCAGATCATCATCATCTTGAGTTTCTCAACCGGAACAAAGCAGAGGACGCTAAGTTTAGAGACAGACTCTCTCTACCACGGCTGCATCTCTTAATCAAGCCATTCAGATTGATCGGTGTATAAATACACGTCTTCAGCTGAAATATATTAACAATCCGAAAACCTAACATCACACCAGCCATCATCAGCAGCAGCAGAAGTCAGACAATGCAAGAGGCTCTCTGGAGGTCTTTTGTCTGTCGCTGCACCCTGATGCCCCCCCTCCCTCTCCCTTCCCAACAGCAGCTGCCCCGTTTAACTTCACCGGAGAAGAAATAAAGAAATAAACTCGTAATTAAGTAACCGATGTTACATTAACAATTCGGACATCTCCATCTGAGCAGAACGAGACTCGATTCCGCTCAAGATCACTTTCACAGAGTTTGCAATGCGGGGGGTCACGGTAGCCTCGACTAAGGATAGCCTCGATCAATGTGAAAACTAGTAAAAGCACCAATAAACTAAATGATATACGCTCATTAGATTGCTAACAGACGCAAACATATCTAAAACTATTCGGATACACGTTTAAAATTGTGCTTTAATAACTTTTAAAACAGCATATGTGTTTTATGATAAATATATATACACAATTATATACATAAAAATGCATCATTATAACGACCCCTCATTATTACTGTCTTCTTATTCTTACTTACAATTAATGCTAACTTATAGCGTGCTTATTGATTTTAAAAGTTACATCAGTTCATGTTTACCTCAGGAGTATGAATAGATATTTTTTCTTAGGTAATATGCCCATTGCCAGATATTTATGGTTGTAAAGAAAATTTACTGTTTTTGTTTTTTAAATAATAAAACGAAGGATTTAGCAGATTTTCTAAACAGTTTCTGATGCGTGGCGTGTGTCATACTTTGGGGTCCTTTTGTTGTTTTTTTCCTCAATGCTAGGGTCTCTCTTTCTCTGAAACTTAAAACAACTACTTTTCGACTCCTTTTGGCTGAATTTTACGGTTCTGTCTCAAAAAAAAACTTACGGTCAGGATAAAACTGTTAGAATTATTTAAAAAAATAACAAGCAATAAATAAAAATTAGGCGACAGAAACTCGCCCTCTCCCCCCCTCCTCCTGATAAAGTGCAGTTAGAAGTCCTCGGGATGCTAGCATTAGCCACCTAGCTTGCGGGCGGCTCGTACCCCCCGCGTTACATTAGTAACGTCGGTAGTTGGAAGTCGAGGTTACAGTCACACTCTACCTGCCTTCGGGTTCTTCTCCGCTGTCCCCCCTGCTCTCCAAGGAAACAAAAAAACTTATCCGGGGCCACTCGTCCACGATAAATAATCCTCCTCAAAGTTGGGAAAGGGGCTCAGTTAAAGCATCTACAACGGCTTAATTTGTGCCTAATTGATGAGCACGGAGAGGCGTAGGGATAGATGGAAGCAGCCGCGAGTGAGTGTGGGGCGGACAACACCCGCATAAAACTGAGGTGGACATCCGCTCCGCCTCTCCCAGTCAACGGTTTGGATTGACTGAAAGTAGTCCTATGAAACTATTAAATTTAACCTCCCATTATATAGGAATTTATAACGAGTAGATATAACACTTCAAATGCAAAGATGAATAACGTTTCACTGAGTGACTAAAACCAATTACTTAAAGGAATACGTTTTTTAAACAAGCAGCATGTTACTTTCCACTGACACCGCTATACAGTCAGTATATAACAATGCAACAGATTATTAGAGTGTAAATAGCCCAAACATTAGTTAATATAAAGTCCTATCTACCGTCCATCAAATTCCCATAATTTAGGGTCTACTTGCCAATGTGCCGGCGGAGTGATTCGTCAGCTGTGCATCTGTGTGCAAAGGCAGGCTGTCCAGACTTGCACTGGTGTCTGCTTGTTGGAAGAAAGGGTAGAGTTCTGGGTACAACTCTATGGAAGCCCAGACGTGCCAGCTTTTAAAATAAAAAGGAAAATAGGTTGAAATGTTTGCCCTTTGAAGAGAATGTATATCTTATCATTTTTACACCAATCTAACCGAAGGGAATGTATTTAAACGTAGAGTGAAAGGTGTTTTGAAGGAAACAACAATAAACAATTTATGCTTGTCGTAAAAGTGTGTATAATAAATAAAATGATCAAACTTGTTCAAACTAACCTGAAAAAAACGACTGGAGTTACATTCTTCTGATTCCCAAAGCATACAACACTTTGAAAGTTTATACACTACAAAGAAGAAATTACCATTCATTTTCCACTGGTGTGTCAACCATTTTGAAATACAAGCCTTTGATACTACAGTCAACTGGCTCCATGTTAAAGATGGAGCCAGTTGACTGCAGGTCTCCTCTAATGATATAAGTCCTCTAATGACTTATATCATTAGAAGAGACCTGCACCTTTATATATATATATATATATATATATATATATATATATATATATATATATATATATATATATATATATATATATATATATATATATATATATATATATATATATATATATATATATATATATATATATATATATATATATATAAAACACAATAAATTATAAATCCATTTGCCATTTGTGAAAGCTCATGGCAAAACTCCTGCATCTTTGTATGTATGTATGTGCCCATCCCCAAAATTAAAGGAGAAGTCCTGTCATATTCAGAATTCAAACTTCAGAAAGGAATTTAAATATGAAATTATTATATGCTGTTCAATAAATTATAAGTGTTTTTAATCAAGAGTAATTTAATTTGATTGTGCTTTACTGGAGACATCCATGTTTATCAAAGAGCACTACTGCCCCCTACCGGTTTGTGATGTCACAGTGCGTTATCAGCTGTTGAGCAAGTCCCAGTGCTGCATCTTCTGGTGTTTGTCCAATGCGCTATTATCTAAGTCATCTTGAAAACATTCTTCTGCCAAATGTTGGCTACATATTATGTGTTTTTTCTCTGGCCAGAAGTTTGATGGCAAATCCTCCCTCTTCAAGTTGGCAACCCAACAACGAACCTGTCAATGGTGGATCATGAATTGGAAAGGTAAAATAACTAAACTGTTTTTCACTTTTATTACAGTGTAATAAAAGTGAATTTTATTACGATGTATTACAACATCCAACTGCCATGCACGTGGGCATTGTCAGTTTACCTATAGCTCTCAAGAAATTTCAAAGGGGAAGTCCTCTCATAATCTTAAAGGGGAACATCGTTTTTTTACATTGGGACCTTGATTTTATGTTATTACATCATGTTCTACTCACCCATATTAGTTTTGTTTTATTTGGAGCTCTTCCGAAGATATTCAGTTTTGTTATATCCAAGTAACGTATTTCTATGGGCAACGAGTTGAAGGCACAAACTAAACTGTTCATAATTTATCATTTATGGTACGCCAACATTCATAACATGTAGGCGAATCACTGCCCCCCAGCTTAACAGGCAATAAAATGACATCTATATACTTTATTTTAAAAATGGATAAATGAGTAAAGGGTCCACATTTGTGCAATTTAATCTAATTTTAAGTGTAGGTTTTCTTTGAAGGTATCAGAGGTTTGTTAGAGAACTTTAGTGAACAAACAGCATCATCATGAACACCGAACAAGTCGGGTTAGTAAGGAATTGAGCTGTGGGTACGTTCAAAGCAGGATCAAGCTTTGAAATAATATCCCAAGCTTTGAATAGCTCATCAAAGAGAAAACTGAACAGCAAAATAAACTAAGCATTTTCAATTTCCCTAAAATAAATGGAAATAGAAAAACAAAACTAAAGAAAACCCACGAAATTTTGATGGGATTACAGTTTGCAGGATACTAACAGAGCATTAATTGGAGTGGCCACTGCAGAGATCTGCAGCTCAGATAGGATAATCAATTGACAGGCTCTGTTTGTAATGCATGCCATAAATATGTTCTTTATGTTGTGATACGCAAAGGCATATGTTGAAAAGGCTGAATGTCTGGTCAGATGAGGCAAATTAATAGTTGTTCTACAAAACAAACAAAAACTCAACATCACCCTGTGGTCCTCATTGTGAAACATTACAATAGCATGAGGATATGGAGATGCTGCTACATCATACAGAGAGCTGATGGGAAGATATATGATGCTAAACAAAATACTTTCCTAGAAATAAAGCTGATCGAGGCTTAAAAGATTCAAATCTGGGTTGAAAGTTGACATTCAAGTAGAAAAACAGTGCAAAAGATACAGAATTCAACTATATTGAAGAACATTTATGTGTTGGAACGAGCTAGTCAAAGTTCTAACCTAAAACCAATTTAGGATCTCTGAAAATAATTCAACATTTAGGTTCACAGGTTTTCTCCATCACATCTAAGTTAGGGTGAGCTATTTTGCAGATAAGAATGGGCAACAAGTGAAAGACATACCATAAAAGACATTCAGTGTTTTTTAGATTTTTATTTGTAATATTATCAATGTAATATATGTAATGGACGAACAGACAGACAGAGAGACAGACAGCCAGGCAGACGGACAGATAATGGTAATAACAAAATAATTAAAACAAATATTAATTTTAATCATTTAATCATAGCCTTTCAAATATCAGAATTAACAGAAGTAACAATTCCAGGCACTTTTCCAAACAATATTTCTTTCTAACATAAAACTTTAGAAACCAGTCCTAACAGAGACGATAATTACTGCCTTCTGTATATCAGCTTGACCTCTAAATGTCATGGTAGGTTCAATTTAGCTTGTGTCCAAAAAAAAACAGCACATGGTAACATAAACATTAACTGTGTGTCCTTGTCTGTAGCCCCTTTTTCTTTTTTAAACAGTTTTATAATTCATTATTATTCAATTAAGTTTTTTAGGGTGGACAAGGGGGCCAAACATTTTGCTGATTGTATGTTTAATGCATTTTACCAAAAAGACAGTATTTCTTTAAAGGTCTGACTCTTCATATATATGTATATATAAAAATACTTTATATTTTGTGTGTAGAATTAATTAATATAGCAACAAAAAAAAAGGTGGGAAAAATGTTAAAAGGCACAGTAGATTTTAACTATTTCCAGAATCTCTAAGCATTTCTTTGCAGACACTTATCTGGCTCCATAGAGCTATTGGTGTGTGTGTGTCTCTGTGTGAAACAGTGTTTGAACTTAAAGTGACTCAGATGAACAAGAGCGGACTGTTCAGGTTATTATTTTCATATTTAAAACATCAAAAGCTTAAAACAAGTTTCTTATCTGCAGACATTTCCATGCATCTGGGTGTGCATGCGCATAGAGGGTTGGACAGCTACCCTCGTCAAGGATAGCTATTGCAGCATTCCTCCCACCCGAGGCTTGATATAAGCAGAGTAACACACACAGCCAACCTGCTGTGACCCTTACAGGTGTTACTTGTTGACATCTAGCAGACCGTTAAAGACTCCTCCCCCTTTTTATCATCCTCCTCATCCATGCTTATCTCCATCTCCTCTATCATCATCTCTTATGTTTTCCATCCCTCCCTCCTACTGCTTCCTTCATTTGATTGATAGACCTTCCTGTTCCTGTTCCATCGAGGGGGGGTTGTTGTGCTTCTGTAACTTTCTGTCCTCTTTCTTTCTTCCATGCCCTAATTCCTGACTTCCTCATCATCTTCCTGTCTTTTCTCCTTGTGTAACCTCCCACATTTCCTCCTTCCCTTCTTCCAAATCCTCTTTAGATGACTCCCTCCTTGTGTCTTCTCTGCCCTCATCATCCCACTCTTCTCCATTCTCCTCTTCCTCTTTCCTTCCAGCTTCAACAGTGTGTGTTTGTGTGCCGTGCGTACGTGCAAATTCTTCCCTTCCCCTCCCCCACCCAGTTCGCTTAGCTCACTTACTGCACCTCACCACCACTTCTCCTCCACCAAACCTCACCCCACCCATCCCCTGCTCCTCTTCATTCTCATTTTCACCCTTTGCTCTTTCTCTCCTCTCCTCCTTGTCTTCCCCCTCATTAGTCCTCTCTGTCTCCTGTCCCTAACAAATCTTCCCTAATGAACAACTGTTATATGTCTCCCTCTCATCACCCTCTCAGCTCCCTCCGTTCATCCACCACTGTTCTACCTCCTCTCATATCCTCTGTGCTCCACCACCTCCTTAGCTCTCCACCTGTCTCCTGCCTTCTTCTCGCCTGCCTGTTAATCTGCTCCTCAATAGGAAAACGTCTGTTTTCCTTTGCAGCTCTCCTCCGCCCTCCTGCTTCGCACCTCATCCAAACTCCCAACTGTCCATCCGGTAATATCAAAGAAACCCTTTAGTCTCAGGCTTTTTCAACATAACTTTGGGAAGCAGACTCCTCTGTTTCACTAATGGCACAGCTTTGCCTCCTTAACAGCTTCATCATAACAGAATCTGGAGGAATATTTGTAGTATCTGGCTTTAGGGAGATTGCTATATGGTTCAGTAAAACCAGATTGGAAACTGATGGCCATAAAGCCTTCCTTCCTACTTTAATAAATTATGTCCGG